GAAAGAAGGTGCCGCGCGCTTCCTATAAGCCGGTCACAGGCGCGCGTATTCCCCATACCGTTGTGGGTACAGAAGAGTTTAAGCAGGTGGGTCGCCCCTCTTCTATCATTCCTTATTTTACCCGGGGGTTTAGCTGGTTAGAAACCCGCGCGCGTGTGAGGTGTCGGTTAGTGCCCCGTCGTTGCTTGTAGTTTAAGGTGTGCAGAGTTGTCCTTTCTGAGACCCTGTTGTACCTGAGACTTGGGTGAGATTGCGGTGCGACTGTGTTGTAGTGTGTACGAGATCTGCTCTCTATTCACTACCTCACCAGTAGCATCGTTGACGACTCCAGGATTCTCGATTCTACTCGTCTCAGTGGTCCAGGATCATCATCTGGTCCTCCATAACTTGTCAGAATCTTCCGTCTGAGTCATGACACTTCGCGAAATTTTTGGTCTAACTGTTTTATAGCTTTTGTATACAACGTACATTTTTCTGACGTCGACATTCTCATGCCAAGAGGTTATAAAAACTTTATTTTCCTTCGCAAGCTCTACAGACATTACAACTCTCTCTGTCTTCACAGGTAGTAACGACAAAAAAAAAAAGATTTCCCACACGGTGTTGGCGAACAATTTTATTTGCCGTGTACTTGGCCTGAGAACCGACGTAAATATTAACATACGCTGTAATCTAGGTTATCACAGGGTATAGGAATTTTTCAGCTCCTCACCCTGACCCAGGACACCCTGTTCTACTCCCAAAATTAATCGCTTCGGTTAAGTGTTCTCCTACTGTTGCTGTCCTGTACCGGTTTGACGACCTTCCGGTCGTCACGTACACTTCAGTTACCTCCCCCAGTTTCTCACCACTCTCATGACCGGATTATCGACCCTCTAGAACAGATATTTCTATCGTTCTCCTCTAAATAGGTATGTGGCAGTCAACTCTGAAGTTATGTTCCCTGTTTCCCTCTCAATTGTATCGTAGCTCCAAAAATTTTTCTTGTGTTCCAAACGTCATAGTATTGATGTAGAACTACAAATATTTTTTTTTTTTGCAAATTTTCCAGCTTTAAAATCGTTTCAGATACCAATAAATTTATCTTTGTTCTCATACTTAACTCTTCTCGTCTACGGCCGGTACACCGTTGTAGCCAGGAGTAACCGGGTCCGTCGCGTCCCCACTCAGTAGATCACAAATATATTAATACCTATATTGGTTAGTATCGAATAGTCGAAACACTCCATCATCTAACGAGGTGTCTTCTCCTCATTCACCCAAACGTCTGTCGGTACTCTCCTCAAGTACATGTGTAAATACGACTCTGCTACTTTTGTTTAAAAGACCCTTCACTGACGCGATTATTTGAAGGTATAGCTGGTCAATTGTTCGACTCCTCGAAGGGGTGGATTATTGACATTCACTTAATTACTATATGACAGGTCTTTTATTGTAGACAGTCCTCTTCTTTGGGAGGGTATGTTCTCTTTTATTCTTTGGAGTTCAATGAACAAAAAGTGAGACTGTTGCTCGAACGTAAATGGGCAATTCGGGAGTGGTGGATGTAGTATAACCGTCATCTAAATTAAAGGGCACGGTGACGGCCACACTTCGGCGTGAGTCATGCCATTACCAAATTTGTAGGAAAACGAGTACTGGAAACTGTATTTTGTTGTATAATCTGAGAAAGATTGCCGTCTCAGCGACAATTTTACAACACGTCTGTCTCGGTCAGAGGCGACTTTCTGTCGGATGGCGGACCTACAAAGGAACCTCCTCTCCATCCCCAGGAGGGACGACCCTGAGCCGGACGGGCGGACTCGTACACGGAACTCATTCCAGGGGAGAACCTAGGGTCCCTTGAGATGTCTGTGTGTGAGTAAATGAAGTACAATGGGGTGGTTATGAGTTTGAAATGTCGCCGCATATTCATTAACTTTTTGCAGTGTTTAAAAAGAGATCTTTACATAAACGATTTCCACGATAAAGTGTACTGTACATAGTGGTCTGTAACGGCACATTGTCGGGTACGTTAAGTTCCTTTGTTTTAGTCTTAGTCTTATGAAATGAATCAGGTGTCTCGCCTTTAAACGGTAGGCAATGTCGTCCTTTCTCGGGGTGTTAATTAATGTATACAATTGTTTTATTGTTTAATTCAAGTCTTTATCCAATACGCACATTTGTCTTTACCTTACTGGTGTCCCTTTTTCCATAACTTGTGTACGTTTTCGCTTCTGTGGTCGATTTAGATCGTCATTAGTCTTTCGTTCAGGACAGGGAACTTCTCCGTTTATTTTATAGTCGACAAGTCAGGTGACTACCGGATGTTTTTATTCAGATTACATAGTTTCCCTCAGTGTGTTCTTTGGAGAGTCACACCCATTTTGTTCTCGCGAGGAGTCTGGCAAGCGTTGGATTTCAATGTTTCGTGTGACTACCGTAACCAATTGTCTTCCTAAAGCTTGAAGCTACAAGGTCTCTCGTGACACACCCCGGTATTAGGCTTAACTTTGGTCTTGTAGCAAAGTGGTATTTGGTAGGTGCTGGTCCTACGAGAGGTTCTAAAGACTGTCTCCTAACTTTTTTAATTAGTTTTCTCTACAGTTCTAAGGTTCCTCGTGAACGCCTCTCGAAGGCCTCGGGACCTCAATCGTCCGTTACGAGTTTCTTCTTGTTATTCATTTATTTGAGTGAGCGCTGACACCGACACTCCCTCACAGCCAGGGAAGTTGGTCTTCCACGACCAAGCTAGGATGGGTCGGGTACGTCAGTTGTACAGTACATAGGAACCCGTTCTTAATATTGTGCCTTCACGAGGCTACCGTACCGGTTGCACACACTTTACACATTANCCTGCAGATCATCCAGGAGCAGGACCTGGGTCTGGTCAGTGACACCGCACAGCTGCACAACATCTGCCAGGAAGTGTTGGACTCACACCCTGACGAGGTGAGGGCTCACGTGCAAACTCTTACCCTGTTATCACTTGTTCTTACCTTGTTTTGTATGAGATTTATTTGTGTTTGTTGTGCCTCTGTAGGTTAATGCCATCCGAGGTGGAAATAAAAAGGTTCTGAACAAGCTGATGGGCTTGGTTCAGAGAGAGACCAAAGGCCGAGCCGACCCGGTTCTGGTGAGGAAAATTATACAAGAGAAGACGTCATGAAGGTCGGACTGTTGTGCAACACCAGAGTCAAATCATGGGCCATGTGACCTTCATGATAGACGACGAGATGGCAGTGATGTTTGTAGATAAATGGTAAATAAATGGACTGTACTTATATAGCGCTTTATCCAGTCTTTAAGACCCCTCAAAGCGCTTTACATACTACATGTCATTCACCCATTCACACCCATTCATACAGAGCAGTGTACCTTACTCTAGGACCTAACATTCACACACATTCACACACCGTTGGCCATGCCATCGGGAGCAACTCCGGGTTAAGTATCTTGCCCAAGGATACATCGACATGTTGACTGCATGGGCTGGGATCGAACCCACAACCTTCTGGTTGAAAGACGACCACACTCCCTCACAGCCACAGTCGCCCTAGATCTTTATGAACAGGCAGAGTAATCATGTCGCTCCATCAAAACAACATATGGTACCTGGTCTTAGGCGGGTGAAGGATTACTCTGCCTGTTCATAAAGATCTAGGGCGACTGTGGCTGTGAGGGANTGAGAGCAGCTGCACTATGGAGCTTTTTTTAATTTTTTTCAGTTTCAGATTTTACGTTTTCAGATTCAAAACAAATCTTTTTTCAGTTTCAAATCTTTTTTTTCAGGTTTCAATCTTTTTTTCGCCTTCAGATCGTTTTTCACTTTCAGATCTTTTTTTTTCGCTTTCAGATTTTTGACCCTGATATTGCTTCGGGGGGCGGGGCTTACCAAAGAGTAGTTTGGCACCCTGAGTGACAGCCCTCCCTCTGTCATTATGACTTCATGGATGTTAGGTAGCGCAAGAAATACAACTACACACTTTCTATACACAATACTCCCGTGATTGGTGGTAAACAAAACTGATACCAGCATCAAAGTTCCGTTAAGCGAGCTGTTGAGCATCGTAGTTGGCAACAATCAAGGTATAAGAGCAATAAACTGCTAGAATCTGAAATCACGTATCCGCAATCAAGCTTTGTCCTTAGCCACTTCCACGTGGCTCCATGAACGCAGCATAGTATTAGCTTGGTTTTTGCGATCAGAATCAGAATACCTTTATTAGTCCCACAGGGGATACATTTACATTGTTACAGCAGACAAGAGCCAAATACAGCTTAATGTTACCTAAAGCATGCATACAAAAAGTATTAAAGATTAAAAAAAGAAATTATATAGCCTATATTTTTAAAGTTACACATTTTACATACTGTAATACACACCCTGTGACAGTTCTGCGGATTTAGCAGCCAGGTATATATTGCACAGTTTTTAACGGCATATATATATTGCACATACTGCAAATATTGCACATAGTTGGTATTTATCAACAAGATGTGTTATAGTCTGTGTAAAGTCACTCAGGATGCCAAACTACTCTTTGGTAAACCCCGCCCCCCCCCCCAAGCAATATCAGGGCCAAAAGTTGGAAAGCGAAAAAAAAAGATCTGAAAGCGACAAAAAACCATCTGAAAGTGAAAAACGATCTGAAGGTGAAAAGCAATGTGAAACCTGAAAAAACAAGATTTGAAACTGAAAAAATAATTGTTTTGAATATTTCCCCCTGAAATTATCTAGAGGTAAAGAGAAGCAAAACATAGAAACACTGGTAAAGTACCTACCTGAACATTGTTCTAAGCAGCTCTAAACTCATTTGTTATATTACACCACTGCTGACAACAAATAAATTGGAGAAACTCAGTAAATAAACCTCATACATAATCTGAATAATATCCTGTCCTAAAAAATCTTGCACGGTAGATGGCAGTATGCACCTAAAAGTTGGTATTGCAATCCACCAAAAAAAGCCTCAGAGAAGAAGAGTGGTAGTTGTGGTATCTGTAGTCAAAACGAAAAAGAAGAAGAAGATAAACATGGCGTCCGTCAGTAGTGATGAGTGGAGAGCTATTTGTGACAAATTTACCAACGCCCAGAATTTAACCGTTGTAGAATCACTTAATGACCCAGACAATGACCCGTTCCGCTCAAAATACAAGGCCAGGGAGCTCCTCAGGGAGATATACTGCTCGCTGAAGAGTTTTGAGGCCGGGGAAGGTGAGGAGGAGAGCGGCGGAGAGACCGGAGAGAGCGGCGAGAGCGGCGAGAGCGGCGAGCAGCTGCCGGTGGAGGCTCCGGTAGACGGGCAGACTGAGGAGGCGTTCAGTCAGGGCTTCTGCGGAGACTCTCCAGCCGGGCTGCGGGCCGCTAAACTCGGGGCGGTGGAGTACTACCTGGGCGTCAACCATGTGGACACAGAGGAGCTGTCCGCCGGGCAGGAGCATCTAATGAACAGCATGAAGCTGCTGGGGAGATGCAGGGTATCATCGGAGAATGTGTCACTGTTTATCCATGCCAGGGTAACGTTAACGATTACTTTCTTAACATTAATGTTGACAAATTGGTGCAGCGTGACCACACATAACAGACTGACTGATTGATGTTGCTAAATCCCAATATAATTGACAATGTCATCATAAACAATGCCATTTGTAGGCCTGTGGGACAGCAGTTTGCTCCACCATTCCCTTTTACACACTTTAATAAAAAGTAAACACTACCAAATCTTCCTCATACTACTGGAATTATTTGCACATTTCTCATACAATTTAGCAAATTTCTGCACTGTACTTCCACTTTAAAACGTCTATACATTTATTGTGCAGTAAGTGGTGATATTTTGTATTGTTTGTCCTTTGTTCTTTATTTATGTTTCTTTTATTTAATAATATGTTTTATAATTTTCTTTTTAAATATATGTTCCTATTTTTCCATTTCTAATTGTATGCATGCACAATTTTATATCAAGGCAAATTCCCTTTATGTGAAATCCTACTTGGAAATAAACTAAATCTCGATTCCGTCTATTGAGTAAATATCTATTCTAATGTAGTAGGAGATCAGATGAGGCTTATTATCACTAACCCATGTTTTGTCTGTTTGTGTAACAGAACCAGTTGGGCATCCTGTGGGCCGGCCGCGATGAGACGGAGACCGCTCAGGGATTTCTTGAAACGGCTGAATCTATCTACCAACGTTATATGAAAGAGGTAAGGTTGGTGTGGTTTATGGAAAATCTAGAGAAAATAAATATCATAGGCATACATAATAGTATACATAATTCTTGTATTTTTCGTTAAGTAAGAAAATTTGTTTGTATGTTTCTTTGACCCCAGATTTTTTTTCATGGTGCTACATTATGACTTAAATGTGTTCATAGCCTCAAATGAGAATAACATGTGTACACAACTAGGTAGCAAAATGGGATTGTGGCCTAGTTGCTGGGTGTTAAAAAACACAACATCAAACCACAAAAGTGATAGCCAAGAATTTGATTATTGCAACTGCAGGAGCCATAGTTTTTTTTTAAAATGTTTTCTAGGATGGAAGTCCACCCACTGACATGGCAGATTACTTCAGTACTGAAGAGAACCAGTTGACACATCAGGAAAGGACCAAGAGGTAATTTGTCACCTTTAATATCCCAATACAAAAGCTGTATGTACATTTACAGAGTGTTTGCATGATGTGTGGTCATTGATGTACACTGGGTTTGTTTCTTTCTCTGTTATGCTCTGCCTTCCCCTTATATCTTTCTCCTTTACACTCTTTCTCCAACTTCCCTTTTCCAGGTTTGAGTTGGCCTACACCCATACCATGTACTACCTTGCACAAGTCTATAAAAACCTTGGTGAGTTTGATGTTGTTTGAGTCAAATGCAACAGTATACATGTATTGGTTTATGAAAAAGTCATACTTAATTATTTATGTAATATACATTCAATAATATAAAACATATATATTGAACTTAACAGTCTCTAATTTATTTAATCCAATGAGTAATGTGTTGCTTTAAGGAATGTCTGAAGAGTGCTTCTGATCTGATTCAGAATACATATGTATCTATGTAATCATAATGAAGCATTGCCTTATTCTGTTTAGCTCCTGGTTTAGTGGTTGATGGTAATGAAAGTGTTTTATCTCCCAGGTGAAACTGAGCGTGCTGCCATCTACTGCCACAGCACCCTGCAGAGACAGTTAAAGTTAAATCAGTTCAGTCCTATGGAGTGGGCTCTGAACGCTGCCACACTATCGCAGTATTACATCACTAAGGTAGGGCACGGGTGGATATTGATTAATTGAAAATGATTGATTTAAAACCTCTGAAACATTTGAAAGGATTTTACATCAATTTGAGACAATAGTTTGCTCGTGTCAGTACGTGCTGGTTATTACCAATATAGACAACATAACTGTATCATTTCTTAATACATGATTTCATCAAATTATTATTACATTGAAAGACGATTCATTATTATATTCAATTACCGCCATACCCTAATTTGAGCTTGTACTCATCCAAAATGGTTTAATCTGTTTTACCTTGCAAAGTCTTGTTGTTCACGTCTTTCACATTTTTTAAGTGAAATAATTTTGATTACAATGCAATACAAGTTTGGTTGTAGTAGGCATGCATGTTTGTAATATCTAATTCATTTCAGTATTGAAAGGTGTGTGTGTGTGTGTGTGTGTGTGTGTGATTTTTAGGGCCGATACATGGAAGGCAGACATTGTCTCTCAGCGGCAACTGTCATATCGGGTTTGGCAGGAGAAGTTCCTTCTGAGGCCGCAGCACAGGAGAGTAAGCATCTAAATCTTGCATTAATTAACATATCAAAGCAAACGTACATATTTGCCTATTTCTATTGTCCTTTTTAACTGCAATTAGGAAGGCAGGAGCAAACACAGCTGTGTAGCAAAGCTTTGTGCAAGTATCTTACCTCCCTTCCTCTGTCTGACTCCTTCCACCTCAGTCACTCTCACTTCAATCCAATATATCTATCCTTCCTGCTGGCATATCCTAACATGTTTGTGTATCCTGTGTCTGACCCAGGTGAGACCGAGAGCGAGCGCAGGGAGCAGCTCAGGCAGAAGAGAGCAGAGATTGCGAGATGTTGGATAAAATACTGTCTCAACATTCTGCAAGACTCTAAGAAGCTGCTAGAGGTGTGTGTGTGTGTGTGTGTGTGTGTGTGTGTGTGTGTGTGTGTGTGTGTGTGTGTGTGTGTGTGTGTGTGTGTGTGTGTGTGTGTGTGTGTGTGTGTGTGTGTGTGTGTGTGTGTGTGTGTGTGTGTGTGTGTGTGTGTGTGTGTGTGTGTGTGTAAAAACCTCCCGAACAACGAAAGAATCCTAACCTTGTTGTGATTCCACACTACCTTACAAAACTACATAACTCTGCCTTTGTTATTGTGTTGATTGAGAGACCCCTAGTGACAGAAAATAGGATAATCATAATATTAATAATATTGGGAGGGATGAAACCCTCTTTAATGGTCAGTGTCACACATGCAGAGCACACAGTGAAATGTGTTCTCTGCATTTAACCCATCCTAGTACCAGGAGTCTAGCACTAGGAGCAGTGGGCAGCTATTGTACAGCGCCCGGGGAGCAAATGGGGGTGGGGGGGTTGTCCGGTGCCTTGCTGAAGGGCACCACGGCAGGGCAGGATGTGAACGACCTCTCCAAATAGAAGTTCATATATATATTTAGGTCTGGTCGGGGACTTGAACCCTACGGCTCCCAGTCCAAGCCCCTTCTGACTGAGCCACTGCCGGACAGATATTGTATCGGATATTGTAGGTTTGAAGAAAATCACTTGTAAGGGCTTTTACTTAAAGTTGATGGTTGTTGTTTTTAATTTCTTTGTGAACAGGACAGCATTGGGGAGCTGGATACAGATCGTCAAGAAGAAATGAAGAGAGGGAGGAGACTTGAGGAGGAAGAGGAGGAAAAGGAGAGGAAGAGCGCTATGCTGTTTGGCTCTGAAGACACCTTTGACTCCATTGCTAGCCTGGAAGAGAAGGTTAATAAACTTTCTGATGCTTCTGCTGGTTCTGCTTGTACAGTCATTATAATAATTATTAGTGTTACAGACCATGTTGTACTACACTAGGAAACACATTTAAAATGACTGTCACCAGAGGGCGCCATTCTGCAAATAAATACTAGACCCATTTTAGGAGCTCGAACTCTGCTTTTTGTTTTCCAGGTGCGCTGTTTGTTGCCAATGGACTTCACCGAGGCCAGAGCCATATTTCTGGTGGGACAACATTACGTCACACAGGTTTGTAAAGCCCACTGACACACTCACACTCAAACTGGGTTGGACAGACCAATACAAAATGTAGACAATCTTACACCAGTAACCAGACACACCAACAGCAGTGGAGTTATTGAAGTATCCATACTAGCTCCTAAGATTAAACATTTTAACTAACCAATGCTTTTGAGTTATGTCATGTCTTTTTACTTCCCAGCGCAGTTTGTAAAGCTTATTGAGATAGTTTTGAAGAAGAAGAGAGACACTAGTTCCTACATGAAACTGATAAATACAAAATAAAAATAGAATAAGGTCTGTCAATTATTTTGATGAACCTGCTCAGGATTTATGGAAAGAGAAGTTTCTTTTGAGTTTCTCCAATTAAATATTTGTTGCCCTAGTTCCGTTAAATTGGAGGATGCAGACATTTTTTACAGCCAATATCTCAAACACTCAGCAACACCCATCAAAACAATCTAGATTGATTGATAAAACCACAGGAGAAATATCTGAGTTTTTCATTTTGGTTTGAAATGTCTCTTTAAGTTAGTATTAATGGTAGAGTTGATGCAGAAAAACCGAGATTTCTTTAATAAAAAACATGGCTCTTGGGTTTATCCCACAGTGTATAGTTACAACTGCTAAACTTTGTAATCTGTCCGTCTTTTCACTTAATCTTACAGGCCAAAGACTACTTTCAGATGGACGGCTATGTGACGGACCACATAGAGATCCTGCAGGATCACAGTTCTCTGTTCCGATCCCTGGCTTTCTATGAAGAGGATCTGGACCGGCGCTGCAAAATGCACAAACGAAGAGTTGATATGATGGAACCTGTCTGCATGGGTAGTTGCATTTTTCATTTGTCTCTGAGTATTTTCAATGGAAAAAGACGACACAATATGTTGTTGTCAATGTTCAACGCAAATGTCCATGTAAAGTGACATGATTGATTGAATCTGACTCTCTGTTTCACTACAGAATTGAACTCCAAGTACTACCTAATGATCCGCAGACAGATGATGTTTGAGTTGGCTGAGACCTACAATGAAATGATGGACCTGAAGCTGACGCTAGCCAACAGACAAGATGAAACAGAATCTCTTGACAGCCACACCATTAAGAAATTTAACAATCTCTGCTCTGCTTCTGCCAAGTGAGTGATTGTGTTTGTAGGAGTTGTGTGTTAGTGCATCTGAATATATTCACTCTAAATGATAGGAAATCCTCCCTTCTCCTCTCCAGGTACTTCCAGATGTTCCTAGACTCTCTGTGTTCTCCGGAGGGGAAGCAGCCGGAGCATCTGGAGGAGGAGGTGCTCCGACCGGCTCTGGTGGCTCGCTTCAGGGTTGCCCGACTCTACAGCCGGCTGATCTGTACCTCACCCCCCGGTCAGGTGGAAAACCTTGACAAGTCGCTGGAACACTACAAGTAAGAATATAGTGTATTTGTAAATATATGGCATAAGGCTGGGTTTAAGGAAAGAAAAACGATTTTCCAGTTCAATTCAATCTTCATTATCATGAACCAAAATATGGATTTAAAACATCAGAAATTAGACTATTAATATATGTACGAATAAAGTTTCTACTGGGCAAACCTCTGGAATTTTACTTTTTTAAATGTCGGCGGCTGCTCCACAGAAGTCACCACCAGGCGGCGCTGCCAAATACATTTTCAGTGGTGTCAAAAAGTCTGTCTCTGTAGTATGTTTCATATCAAAGCAATATTTGTATTCTAACTGGAGTATTCTTAATCGGATCAAATCAGAAATTAATCCATTGAGGATATCAGTGGGGAAACCCAGCCCTAGTCATACATCCAAACACTTTCTGGGTTGCATAATCGAAAATGTAGGAGAAGTGTGCGTATGTTGACGTGATGTTGAGGCGTTAGGAAATCAGAAAGACGCGTTAAGAGGAATTGTGGGCCCGACGTGTCTTGGACGTAATATGGTCTTTGTTTACATTAGCAAGCTTCGCTAACACTCAGAGATATCCTGTACTGGAGAGAGTATGTGTAAAAAAGTAAGAAATAAAAAAAGGAACTGGCCTTGTGATAAACCGGCAAGAGAAAAAGCATTTGAGCTCCATACTGTTTCAGAAATAATCCTTGATGTGTTTGGAACATGATATGGCATTTAATCACGGCAGCATTTAGCTTCATCTCCCGTAGAATTAAGGGCAGGCATTAGCTCCCCCTCCTCCTTTTTTTTGTTTCAAGCTAAGGCCCCCGAACCTGCAGTTCTGTAACGGGGCTGGAATAGAGGGATATGAGGGATGTCTAAAATGCATGATCTGTTTGGTATTTTGAGCAAAACACATCATAGACATGTTTTTTATATATTTTATATCTGAGACCCATAATATATGCCTAAAAATAGCATAATAGGAGACCTTTAATGTGTTGACCATCACTTTCACCCTACACCTGTCTAGATATGTGGTGGATTACTGTGACTCCCACCCAGAGGCCGTGGCCACAGTGGAGACGGAGCTGGAGCTGAGTCGGGAGATGGTCGGCCTGCTCCCTCTCAAAATCAACCGCATCAAAGCAAAGATCCACGCCAACAACTGAAGGACGCCCCCTCTCTCACCTGACTGACCAGTTGTCTACTAAAAGTGTAACATCTCCCAAAAAATGAGTCGGTCGATCTAAATGTACCACCTTTTACAGTCAGTGGACACTCCCTACAACTAGAGAAACTGGACAGTGAAGGACTTTCTTGCTTATTCAACCACATCTTTCTTGGCAGTGTTCATGCTGCATTTACAAGACCTTTGAACCCATCACACACTGTAAAGATGTGCTCTCCTCTGTGAAGTAACATTTGATTTGAACTCAAATACCACAGTTAATATACCCTCTTCAAAATTAACATGTAAATGTCTTCCTCACTAATTGAGATCAGTTGATAATAATCAACTAATAATAATTGTTTTGTTTCATTTTATTTTACTATCGTATGTGACCGAGTTCTGATTCATGTTGTTTTCTATGTTAAACATGTTTTGTTTTTTTATCACTCATTGTCAAGCACTTTAGCACACTGAACTTTTGTTTCTTCAGCTACTATCTGATGTTAAAACAAATGTTAAAGCCTACAGATACATGGGTCAGTGTAACCATGGTAATAACAATAGGCAGCCATCAGTGCAGATGGGCTTAGACTACTGACAGGTTGTTGTTGTTGCGCCTTAAAACTGAGAAGCTTTTTCTGCAAACTGAGAAACAGTCATAAAGTGGGCTTATTCCTGTTGGTTTATGAGGTATTATAATCTGCATGTTGTTGCCAGAACCCAGCTTTGACCAGGTGAAATCTAATATATACTCTTGTATATTTCTTTCCTGCCTGTGATGAATCACAATGTTATCTTGTTTGTTGTACAGCAGATAATGTATGTTATGGTGATAAACAAGTAAAGAACTACACTATAACAAAATATCGTCCTAATTTCTCAAATCTACTCTGGAGCACTGCCAATCTCCATAAAAAAGGCATGAGGCATAATCTACATATGTCTATTATATTATGTTCATACAAAAAAAACGAATTCCGAATATATATGTATTTTATTAATGTGCCGAATCTTCATGGAAAAAGGGCAAGTGTTACTTATGGATACATCTTTTAGGAACAGTGAGTCCAATGATGTGCCTTTTTTTTGTGCAAAGAGATGCTGGGTGTTAAATGAGAGTTGTTTTTCTCTGGTATATCTCCATTTAACAGAAGTATCAAGTGGATTTAATGACTCTGGATCCTGAGTAAAAAGCTAAAAATATATCAAATGTAGGACCAGATGAGTTTAAGCACTTTTTTTCCCAGTCTATTAAATTACCTAATTCAGACAAATGTCTAAAACGGTGTCTATTTGAACTGAAATATCTCCTAAGTGTTTCACACACTATATCTTACATTTGACATGTTTTACACGTTGTCATGCCTTAACACCTTAGAGCAAAACGTCATACAAAAAATATGTTGATGGTAGAAAGTCATAAGCAAAGGTCCCTGGATAAATGTTGGATTCCAATTTTCTGAGAATATGCACGCAGTTTCTTTGTAAGGGGGAAGTGCAACCGAGGTCAGGTTTAAAACTGACCAATTTCCGTGCTTCCTCGTTCTCTTTCACTCTCTATTATAGCAAATAGTCCTGGAGATCTGGCAGCATTTGTATTGATTCATTTGATCATGTAATCATAATGTTACCAATATACCCCTCCAACATACGCACAGACACACACACATCACATGCTAGGCAAAATACTGGTTGTCCCATAGCTTTATGAAAAACAATTTCAACACATCACAACCTGCAATTCCAGCTTTCATTTATGCTCCAACTAACATGTCTGATGCTTGTCAAAACGTGCATTTACATACCTGCTCAGTGCAGGACACTCAGAGCTAATGTGCTGTGAATTATTGTGCAGTAAACTCTCTTGGCAAATTAAGAGGGATTACTGGAAGTTCCACACTAACACAGAATACAGATTTACAGTAAATACACAATATCTTAATTTGTATATAAGCCGCCAATATACACTTTTCTAAGGTTCAATGTTATTACATGCAAGACTGAACTGCACATGTGCTGATAAACCAAGTGACCTGCAGTTTCTGAAGGTTACAAATCACATTATATCATTTATGTAGACGTTTTTAAGACATGGACAGAAGAGGCTTTAAAATGAAATCCCTCTAAAACTTGAATGCCTCACCGATTAAATATCACTTGACTTAATTCAAAGAGGAAGAGTGCGACATGAACAGTTTGTACACTTAAAGTTAATAATGAATAAAGCATTTATGACTCTAAAGGCATCATTATAACTCCCCCACTATTTTGTATTGCTCTCTTTCCATTCCCTATTGTAATAAAGTTATTTAGGGCGACTGTGGCTGTGAGGGAGTGTGGTCGTCTTTCAACCAGAAGGTTGTGGGTTCGATCCCAGCCCATGCAGTCAACATGTCGATGTATCCTTGGGCAAGATACTTAACCCTGAGTTGCTCCCGATGGCATGGCCAACGGTGTGTGAATGTGTGTGTGTGTATGTTAGGTCCTAGAGTAAGGTACACTGCTCTGTATGAATGGGTGAATGACATGTAGTATGTAAAGCGCTTTGAGGGGTCTTAAAGACTGGATAAAGCGCTATATAAGTACAGTCCATTTACTATTTACCATTTACTTGTCATGTCATGTTAAAGAATAACCAGTGATTTATTATCATCCTGAAACAGCACATCTTTCTCCATCCATGTTTAACTCTCATCCCAACAGTCATTATAAGCTTCTAACGGAACACCCTAATTTCTAACTGTGCTGCCTTTAAAACAGGA